AGGCTCTAATTAAAATAACAGTACTTGTTAATAGCAGTATTTTTTAAATTTTGATTTAGTTGCTGATCCAGGAAATCAACACAGTGGGACTTGGTTATGTCTTCCTATGTAATGCACTGGATAAGTGCAATAGTAGGGACTGGAAGATGCACAAAATCAACATGAAATTACTGGCATTTATAGTGCAGAACAAATCTGCATAATTACATAGGTTTTTAGAAAGAGAAAAAAACAATTGTCCTATACCTGAGCTGTATCACCCAGGCTTTATGATTTTACCCAGTGATTAGCACAGTCAGACCAGTAATTTAGTTGTGTAGCACATCTGGAGTTCTCTGCATTTCTGTACGTACTTTCCTCAAGTAATGAACTCCAGTTTTCTACTTATATGGTCTCTTGATAAAGGTAACTTTAAAGAGAAAAATTAAAAGTAAGTAAAATCACAGCTGCAGCAAGACACACTTCCCGCGAGGCATGATTAAGCTACAGTAGGAAGGGTAGGTTTAGGACACAGTTGCTGCTGTATAGCCATGGTCTGACAGTCTTTTAGGAGCTACACTCTGGAGGTTTGAAGTGCCAGGAGGGACTTCCAGTACCCCGTAGAGAAAGAATCATTGTTCATAAAGTTGACATGTGCTGGATTCTAGCCAAACTGTTATGTTTGTAGATGTCATGGGCCTTCAACTCTTTCGATTTAAATGATTGAGCATATTGCTGTAATCGAGGTGATTACTGTTTTAAACAGAAACAGAGACATTGTTCCTTGGGTCAGCCTTCTCCTTTCATTGGTATCTCTGTGGAAGGGCAGGATTCAACTTTTAAAATTGTGTGGTGCCTTTCTTTTGCATAGATGTGTACTGTTGAAAACTGGGCTTTGAAAATAAATATTTTCCCCAAAAGGGAAGGTGTGCTAGAGAAGCATAAGAGCAGACATGCTGCTGGGCAAGGAGCTACTGATTTGAATGCAAATCCCAAGAAAGCTGAGTGAGAGGAGGGGGCCAGCCTGTCCAACTGGAACATACAAAAGCTCTACCCTGCAGCAGGAGCAGCAGGTCCTGGTGCTCTAAAGTGCTGAGCAGCCAGCGACTGATTCCTAGGCCAAGTCTTGTCACTTGCTCTTTACAGGAAAAGAAGTTGACCTGTTTTAACATATATTAACATGATAGTCGGTAGGCCACTAAGAAATGGGAATCTCTCATCTGAGGAAGTTGGATGTGTGGAGTAAGAGAGTCGCTGCTTTGGGTAGCTTTATAAACAGGTAGAGAATGCAGAACACCTACCAAGGAAGGGGTGACCCACTTTGCAAAGGTACAAAAAAACAACCATCTTGTCCCACTTGCATACTTCTGATTATTTAATCTGATAGGTGCTTTGTTTTTTATTAATATAATTTGACGTTCCCCTTAACTAAGAGCAACTAACTAATGATTTCCACATAACTGTAAATATGCTCTAGATTGCAAAAGCTAGTACTTTTCCCGGTGCCGTATTAGAATAGTTCTCCTTTGCTACCTCACTAAAGACACTCCAACAGCAGCTGTGATACTTTTCCATATTATTAGAGTTCAGCAGTTAAAGCTGAGGTCAGACAAGAAAGTACAGCATGTTAGGCATTAGTGGCTTTGAAATAGCTGTGAGGGTGCATGCAGATCCAGAGAGGTATGGATGTATTTTTTTTCCTAAAAACTCAAGCCCTAAAAATATAATGCAGATTTTTAAAGCATGTGGAGTCACATTTTCAAAGTATCTCTGCCCCCATAAGCATGAAGACCAATAACAGTGACTCTTCAGCAGAGCAGCAAGGGATCTATCTACTTCAAGATCAAAATGTCAGCATCCTTCACAAACCACATGCTTTAGAAGATTTGTTTATTCCTGAAACCTGCTCCTAACCATGCTGATTCTTCAAAACTGGAATGAACTTTCCAAATGTACTCCTTTTCCTTGTATTAATTCTGAGGATTTTAACTGAACTAGAGATCATACTGAAAAACCGAAAAACTGTGATCATGACCTGGCATATTCTATTCCGGAGCTAAAATATCCTCTGTGGGATCACCTGTAAGACTACTGTGAGGAAAAGATGCTATGTCACTTTGTTAGAGTAAAGATAAGGTTTTCAGAACTCGAGATAATGTAAAAGCGCACAGCCCAGCTTTGAGCACTTACTGAAAAAGGGCTGTTTGGGTGCAGAAGCCACATGGATAAGCAGTCTCCCTGCAAATTTGGAGTGGAGCAAAAAGATAGGGTCAGGGTTTTAAACTAGAAATACTGTGGAAGGGGGAAAACAACCCAAATGTAAATGCAGAAGTAGCAGACTAGGGTGGAAAAAAATGCTATTGGGTAATCAGAGTAAGAAAGACCTCAAGAATGGTGAAACAAGGTGGAAGATCTCACCTCCAGAGTGAGAAAATACATTAAGTCTGGGGAATATGCAGGATGAACTGAAACTCTGCACATAGTCATGAAAAAATAATGTTGCTGGAAAACTGAGATGTTGAGGGACATTTCTGACTACCAGAAGCTTTTCAGGAGAAGAAGTTACATGAAGGAGCCACTTGCATGTGAGGGGCATCTGTCAGGATGGACTAGAGCTGCTGGAGGGTTTGTGGATCAGCTTCAGTGAAGAGGCCAAAAGGAGTGATTCTGTGGTGGGAGTGCATAATAGACTATGCAAAGACAGTGGACATGGGGACTTCTTAAAACAACTCAGAGAAACCTTTGCCTCACAAAGCCTCATTGCCACCAGTGGCTTGATCTACCCTGATGACTGCTGAAAAGACAGCACATGTATAATGCATAACCAGGAATGGTGCACGTTGTGCTTCACTATCAATGAAGGAGTGTTTGGGAACATAATAATCAGTGGCAACCTAGGCTGGAGTTATTGTGAAATAGTGAAGCTCAGGACCATTTATTGAATGAGGACTAAGAACAGCAGAGCATAGAGCTTGGACTTCAGATGAACAGACTTGTCATTTCTGGGAGGAACTAGCAGCTGGAATCCCACTAGGGAATGCTCTGAAAGATAAAACAGCACAGGAAAACTGCAAGGGCTTAAAGCACAGTGCCTCCAAATGCAAGAAATAGGTAAGCACACCAGTAGATGAGTGTGACTAAATTGTGAACTCATGGTAGGGCTTCATTGCAGAAGAGATGTGGTTGTGGGAAGCAGAGACAGGCTACAAAATGAAAATTTGGAAGAACTATCTGGTCATTGTGGTTAGTGTCAGAAATGTTAAAACTCATTAATTGAAGCTGGTGTGGGAATCAACGGCAACAGGAAGAGTTTCTGTCACTACACAAACACTATACAACAGCTAAACAAGGCAAACATAGACTTGCTGCTGAAAGAAGGGGATGATTTTGTGACAGTGAACAGTGATAAGGTCAAGGCAGTGTGTACTTTGCCTCAGTTTGCACCATCAAGGTCTCTGACATCTTTGTGTTTAGAGATGGTTCAGAGATGAGGAATATGACCAGCAATAGGTAAGGAAGGACTCATGGATTGATTGTGAGATCTGCACCTGCCCAAATCCACGGGATCATCACGAATCCTAAAGGGATCATTGCAAGACCAAGGAGATGGGGAAAGACAGAATTCAGAGAATAAGAGCTTTGTCACTGTGACTCTGTCCCTGGGTAAATCAGCCAGCAAGTCCTCAGGGAACATTTCTGGACAGTTGAGGAACGGGGTGGGGATGGGAACAGCCATCCGACATTTAATAAGAATAAATCATGTCTGACCAACATGATTGTCTTCAATAAGAAATTAAAATATTTGCAGAGAATGAGAGAGTAGTGGATATAATTTACAGCAACTTTAGGAATTCTCTGATAAGCAGAAATTGTCTGTCATTGCAACATCAAAGTCTGTAAAGATACATAATTATTCATTGCTTTTCTTGGTTACAAATCCTGCCTTCTATGATAGAAGACTGTATTAGTAGAAACTGTTCAGGTTAAAGCTAGTGGACTGGTCGTTGGCAAGTGTACCCCTTTACAAATTCTAAATGGGATTTGTTATGTATCATACGCAGCAAAGTTATGTCAACAGTGGTTCAAGATGGCTTGTGTCTCCTTCCTGCACACAAGTTTCTCTTAGAACTGTGTCTGTCTCCATTGTGTCCTAGGCATATGCTCAGAAAGAGGTTAGCTTTTTGGAAGCTCCTGTATGACTCAAAGTATGCTGACTTTCACTGAGATGCATAAGTATTTTGGAGGCTTTCAGAAACTCTTGCCTATGAGTGCCATTGTCCTTACTGTTGCATGCATATCCTCCTTCCTCAGAGTCAAGCCTAGTCTTAAACCCTTGAAGACAGATAATGAAGCTGTCTGAATAAATGGGGTTTTTTTGACCTAGTCATTGTATAACTTTTTTGAGGCCTTCATTATACAATTGTGAAATGCATCTTCCATCAACACCTAGATATATTGATTTTTACTCACAGGTCTTTCAGGTAGTGTTCATTCTTTGTGACTATAAAATAGGACAGGTTTATTTTGTCTAACCTGCAGTAAGGCCCCATGAGACCAAGGTAATGGGGCAGTCCTACAAAAACAGAGGCTGTAACAATGTCTGTCTGGCCCACAGTCCCTAGATGATGATCTGTCCCATAGTTTTCGGTACATGTTAAAAATGCTTCAATGATATACTTGCATTTTGACTGTTGTATCCTGAATTGCTCTTCAGATTGAGGGAAGAGGGGAGGCAGGAAGGATTTGTGTAATAGCAGGGAGGTGGTGTAATGCAGAAGAAGAAAAATGAATTTTCTGCAGTGTTGATTTCTGCAGTGTCCTGCCAATCCTTGCATTTACCTGCTTATCTATTATTTCCAGTGCCTTTTTATAACCTCATGTAGGTCCTTTTCATACATGCACACAGTGAAATCCAGGCTGACATTCCTGACACTGCTGAATGCAAAACTGGAGTAACAAAAAGAGTCAGTCCTCAAACAGGCATCACACACAGTGCACAAAGCACTGTGAAATCAACTTACCTATTAGTGGGACAGAGTCAGAAGTTGCAGGCATGATCTCAGCCACGAGCAACATGAATACAGTCAGGGAAAGAAGGACAGTAATACCTGGAGGGAGTGAACATATTTGGGTAGAATGAAGAAAATGAACTCTGCAGCTGCTCCTCTGATGTCTCTGCTGTTAAATATAGCATTGTCCTGATATACAGCTAAGGCAAACCCATGACTTCATGTCTGTCAATGAAGATTAGAACTTCCACAAATGTGAGTGTTTTTCGATGCAACTCTATCTGCTCTCTTTTCATTTTTCTCTAATACACACAAACCCTTGCTTCTCTCAAAGTAATGGAGAAATCTTTTTTGCTGAGTGAAACAAAGCTTGTAAAACTGGTGAACTACAGTGCTTTTCCAAAACATTGCACAAAGCCCAAATGGTTGTTAAGGGCTATGAGAGACTGGCACAGACAGCAGCCTAGGTTTTGCTATCACATATTATACAACATCCCTCAAAGACATGCAGTCTGTTTTAAAAGAAGCTCTTTATTCTATATGGAAAGGCTGTTTCTAAACTTAACCATCCTGATACTGAGAAATCAAAAGGTCAATGCATGAACATTAGCTCCTATTTTTATGCCAACATTGTACTTCAGCTCAAATCACTCTTTCCCTTACCCCCATCCTATATTTCATAGACAGCAATTGTACCCCCGATAGCCTGTGCTTTACTTCTTATAAGGCAGGCTGCACCTTTTTTTTCAACCAAAAAAAGCCCACTGAGGACATTTCATATGATTTAGGAGTCTCTGTCATGAGACAGAATCATGCACAATTAACTCTTAATATCTCATCTGTCCGAATCTGGTGTATTTACAGCTCTTCCCTGTCTCCTCTTGGAAGGAGACCCTTTTCATTTTTATCAACACAGACAACAGTAAATCTCATTTAGCCCTTCCATGGCTGTGTTCACAAGGGACACATGGCTAGGTGTTTTGGGAGCTAATTTTGAACATCCAGTGCCCAGCTGCTGCTGTTCACAGCCCTTCACTCTTTGCTTCCTAGTATGTTCCATCTGAAAAAGACTCAATGAGCTGTGAAATGCATTGAGATGTACTAAAGTACATGACAACAGGCATGACAGAATATTATCACTGTCGCCTGTGCCAGCAACAAGATCAGCTTCCTCCCAGTCCACAAGATATTATATGTATAGCACAGGATGTGTGAATGCCATACAGAAAGCTGTTATCCTTGTTCCTGTAACCAAAAAAGTAATTGTATTGCTCTTCTAGTGAAATCTTCATCGAGCAACATAGTGCCATGACGTATTTTTTTTCCTATTTTACAGCATGCTTGTAAAACACATTAATATTTTAGCACTTACCTAGAGAAATCTTCTCCCCTGAATCAGCTGGCAAAAGGAATACAAGCAGTGCTAAGCCAGATATGAGAACACATGGAATGAGTAAGTTCAAGCCATAGTAGAGGGTGCGTCGACGCATGGTGATAGTGTATGTCACATCTGGGTATGGTTCTTTGCAGCATTCATAGTACATCTCATTCCTCTTCCCTGGGACACCTACAGAGAGGATGATCAGAGCAGTGGGGAGAGATGCAGGACTTCCAGTTACCTCCCAGGACTGGACCAAGAAGTGATGGTTTATGAGCCAATGTCTATCACCTCTGCTATTCTTGGTCCACCTTCTGTATTTTCTAGGGCTTGTTTTCATGCCTTCTCAGTCATTCAAACCCAGCTTAGCTAATAAAGCTCGTCTGAACCAAAACAAAACAGTCCGGGGCATCACAACCTCAAGAATGTGCATTCTGCCTTCCTACATTCTGTGAATGGTAATATACTGTTGATGTGATATTCACTACCACTACCACTACATGCAGCAGATTTTCTGTGTGACAAGTGCTACTGTGATCCTCTATACATATTTGCTCTTTTTTTGTCAGGAAAAACAGACAGGCTTACTCATCAAAAAGGATGCCAAGTTAAGCTCAAAGTCTGTCATATCTGGAGGTTAAGAGACATCGCTGTCCAATACAGCTGTACTGCAGGGTTGCCCATGGTGATCACGCTGCAGCAGATTGCCTGACATGCTCCATGATGGGGACTGCAGGAGCAGTGGAAATGTCAGGAGAGCTGGAAGAACTCAGCACCTTGTATCTTTCATGCCAAAATTGCTCATTTCTCTTTTGCTCGTGTGGACATGACAGATGATATGACAATGTGTGCATTTTGGCAGAGGCTTAGCAAAGACTTTTTAAAGGATATAGCCACAGCTTGCCTGAGGTGCTATTTAATGCTTTTGCTGTATGAGCTAAATAAGTCCCTGTTTTGTTCTCCCTGGTCAGGGTTGAAGGCAGATAAACCACAAACTCTTAAACAAATATGCAAAGTTATTGGACAAAATACCCACTGTAAAGGAGTACTGGAAGAGAGGATTGCTCTGAAATAGCTGGACTTTAGGAGGATTTCACTATGGAGTCTTCTGGCTTCTCATAAAACTGAATACAATTTCTCAGATGCCCTGAATGATAAAAATACTGCATGCAGTTGGGCAGGGCACTTATTTCCTTGTCTGTATATACAGACCAGAAGATAAATGTATTTTTTGTAACGTCTCCTTGCAGCTGGCTAAGTTCCATCAATTTCTGTAACATTGCTTGTGACTTACAGCTACATAAATGAGTTCAAAATAACCTACTAGAAGTTCTCTGAATAACTAGTTCTGGACATAAGTTCTTTTGAAAATACAGGTATCTTCCAAAGCATGGAAGAGAGACATACTAATCTGTGCATTTTATGTACTGGTATACACTTTGATGTTTTTCTGGATGAGAAGGATCCATTTATGTAAAAGTGTTGCTGGAATACTTTTTACACCAATCAATTTTGCTGATTAGAGTAAATGTGACAGTAGTGTTCCATGCACCTACATGAGACACATCCAAATTTAGTACTGACAAACTGCTCAAATGTGTCAGGACTAGTAGCTTTCATTTATGTACTCAGTGGCAGGCAATTGCTTCAGAACACAGTGTTTTCAGACACAGTACAATGAACATTGCTGAAAGGCTGTCTCTGATATGTGGGGTTTTTTTCCTATTTTTTTTGCTTCTTCTTAGAACTATATTTTTAATATTTATATTCCATGTCCAACTGATATATTATTTCTATATATTTGAGGTTTGCCTTTGACAACTAGACTATTGAAAATTTGTAGGTTGGCCAATTTACCCACTAAATCCCATTCTCCATTTGAGATGTAGTTGGAAATATCAGCCTCGAGCATCTGCAGGTCAATCAACCAGCCACTGTGAGTCCAGGAGCCAAACTTCAAATCACACTTCTGCACATCAAAGGGGAACCAACGGACATCAATGTAACATGTGCTCTTCAAAATGCCTGTAGATAGAAATAAGTCATGATCAAGCCTGTTCAGGGTGCATTTCATCTTACCTTTATCTGTCTCTGATTGTGACCAAGTTTTCTCTTCAAAAATTCTGTGTGATACCATCATCATGGGGTAACCAAACAAGTACTGCAGGTGGAAGATGCTGCCATGAGTGGAATTACCTCCCTTCCTCCACCAGTGAAGATCTCTCTCACTGTAGCCTTGAGGTAGGTTGCCTGGCATACTGGGGTCACCCAGGAGCAGCCCAGCCTGTTTTCCAGTGCCAGCTGGCCCTAGCAAATTACAGGCAGTGTTGTTTGGTCTGACAGGAGCAAAGAGTATGCCCCAGGGACTTACTGTGCTGTGACCAGCTCTTTGAAAGGAGTTCCTGGACAGGCCATGCCTCAGACCCACGGCCCTTTGAAAATACATTATTGTCCTAAACCTTGCTCAGTGCCGGCCTTTATCATCTGTGTGGTAACTGAGACTTGAATTTAACTCTGAACGTGTCTAGTTCATGTTCTCGGTTGCTTTAAGGGGTCTAATGTATAGGGAACAACAGGGGAGCAGCAATGAGGGAAGTCATTGCTGATCCCCATTGGGCCTTGTGGACCTGCTTGGGGACAGTGCTTATGCTATGACACAAAGTTTAGGAATTTTTTGTCCACCACAGTGAGCAACTGAGGGATAGCCTCTGTGTTTGCTGGTGAGTCCTGCATGCTGAACCATGAAGACAGGGAATCAGTAAAACAGATTAAAAGAGACTGATACTTGGGCCCAGCTGGCTGAGACCAACCCCAGCTTGTCATTTCACCTGGATTTTTAGCCTCAGCCTGGCAAGAAGGACTTCAATGCTGAGCAAGTGCTGCTCTTGGGGTCATGTCTGCTCACACACCTCTCCACACAACAGACCTAGCTGGACTGCACATGAAACAAGATGACATGGTGTGCACCACCTTACTTTCGATGGGCCTCTGGATGTTTTGAGCAAACTGCTCAGGAGAACATTTTACTGCTTCATAAAGTATAAATGCCACTAATAATGGACTAAAATTTTCATAGTGGGTCTGTCCCATTATGAGATGTTCTAATAATGTTTGCAAGGTTGCAAACATTAGGTTGCAAAATTTCCACAGCGGGCTTTTAACACCTTGGTTTCATTCATGAAGGAAACCTGCTTGAAATTACTTGATTAAAAATAAACAAATACTCTCTGTGCCCTACCTGGAGGAATATATTGGCAGGATCCAGAGTAGTTCACTAGCACATTTGTGTGAAATGTTGCATCAAATCTTTCATCTGCACTGTAACACAGGATAAACAAAACAGAACAAAAATAAAGAAAAAGCAAGATGATGTGTGAGTAAAGATGTAACTGTCAACATAAAAATAATCTTTTGGCTGAATTAAGTTCCTACATCTGTGTGAAGTGTCTACCCTTGATAAATATCTCAGTTCCTCATAGTTACTGTCAGCCTGCACCTGGGCAGGCTGCTTGCCTTGCTGCAATGTCCTCAAAGAAGTGAGAGACAGAGTGTTGCATGTCTCAGAAAAAAGGCAGAAGGAAAAGAAGCAAAAGTGTCACATTAGCTGTATCCAAAAACTGGACAGTTGGGTCAATGAAGCTTCTCTAGGTCACCTGTCAAAATGAGGGAGCTCACACATAAATCACCTATCTGTTACCTTACCCAGATATCTGTAGTAACAGATACATTGTAACAGCAATTGTGGCCTGACATAACAATTCTGCATTCTCCTGACATGCAGAGAGGACAAGAGTTTGCTTCTAGCATTGGAGGAAACCACTGGAGAGAAGTTATTTTAGGGGCTTGTAGGAGGAGATTCATTGAAACTCCAAGAGCAAAAGGGACCAAGGATAGAGAATTTCTTTACTCTTCCAAAATTCTGAGATAATTAAAGGGGTAATGAGCCAGACAAGGACACGATTCTTCAAAGAAGCAGGTCTGGGGGTTTGTTTCAGAGGGTGTCTTAGGAAGAGATTAACCACAGAGGGATCCCCTGGCTTATAGAGCCTTGCCTGTAGTGGCTATGTGCAGGTCTATGTTGCACTACACCATCCTGCATGCCCTGTCTTTCAACCGCATTTTAAAAATTCACAGCCTCCATTACTCTTCCGATCTGCTCTTTATCCATGTCTTGAGTCTTCAGTTCCCAATACAAAGCAAAGGGGATGACACTGAAAAGCATAAGTCCAGAACAGTAATATTTATGAAAGACATAAAAGAAAACAAAAAGTGGTTTTATAAATAAAAGGGGACAGGAAAAAGAGGAAAGTAAGGGAAAAAACAACAGGGTGCAGAGAGCTGCAGTATCCTGCACCCTGTGTGACTTGCTTTTTGCAACTCATTCTCACACAGTGGCAGGAGTCCATGGCAGAACAGGGGACGAATAGGTTAAGGAAATGTAGATAAGAGAGATTCTACTCAGCAGAGCTGATAAAATTTACTCTTGAGAACTGAAAGGACTGGCCGAAATACCCTCTGAAGCATTAACAATTATGTGTGAGAGCTTGTGGAGAAGAGGGAAGGGCATGGTGAATTAGGGGAGATCAAAGAGAATTCTGACTTCTTTTAAAGGTAAAATTATAGACATCAGCCTAACTTCAAAGAAAATGGGGTGAAACATCTGGCACAGATCTGTGAAGGGCCAACTGCATCAAATCAACCCATTTTTCTTACTAAGAGGAGGCTGATATCTATCTGAATTTCAGCATGTTCTTATAAACTACCATAATATGGACCAAGGTGTATGCCTCTGTTTTAGAGACTGAAAAGGAATAAAGACACAGTAAGAAGCAAATCTGAGGTAAAGAGCACTTAAACAATCTAGGTCTCTCCAGGCTTCCTTTGGATATCTTGTAGTGAGGGTTTGGAATGGAATATAGATCATGGTGAACTCTGGAAACTAACAAAATGAAATTTAATCTGGGTAATTAGAAAGTATTACCCTGAAAACTGTCAGAGAAAGACATAACAGGGAAAATCTAGTAAGACAGCAGAGCTGAACGACATCTGGGGTTTACAATAGATAAAAAAAATAAGTCCAGAATTAAGATATTATTAGAGAAAACCCCAAATCCCCTTCTCCTGGAAAGCATTAAGGAAACAGCTGTCTAGAGAGTTTCCACTTCATTCAACACTGCAGCAATGCTGTCTAGAGAGCTAGATTCATCTCTGTAGAAGGAAAAACAGATTAGCGAATGCTCAGAGTATAAGAAGAATGATGGAGAGGTTTATAAAATATGTGATAACGAAAGTGAGATGAAAATCCATTTGTTTACTTCAATCAGAAACTCTGTGACACATATAGGACAGTAGTAGTTTTGAAGAGACTATAATAGTTTCTTCTCCGTGTTCACTGAGAAAACGTTAAAGAAGACATCTGGGGAACTACAGTAAGGAAGATTAAATGGGCTACTAGAAAAATCTGTTAGCTGATAATGCTTGGTTTTGTTACTTTTTAAGGGTAAGGCCAAATCCATAGAGGGCAAAAGGCCCATAGTATCAGTGAAGCATGGCTGATTTTCTGCACTTAGTTCTAGTCTCCTACCAGCCATTTCACATCTTGCTTACCTGTTATACAGAAGAATGTCTGGTACCCAAATCTGGTCGGCAGGAAATCGCAAGTTCTGCACTCCTGGGTATTCATATTGATCCCAAGATAAGTAAACATCAACCCAGGACTGTTGACAAAAACATACATCAGATTACACGAGTTTTTAAAAGTCTTCTAAGTTCTAAGGAACAGAATAGATTTTGCCAATAGCAATAGCCACAGTATGATAATAGTTTAATGCTCGGTTTTAATTATTAAGAAAGGCTGGCATATATAGAGGAAATAACAGTGTGACTACTGAAGACAGTGCTTAGCTCTTCATCTTGTGGCTAGATGTCAGACATCCCAAACCCTTGCTGGTGGACTGGCAGAACCACTGGCAATAGGCACCTCCATGAGGACTGCTGGTTCTGAAGTAAAGTGGTTTTTGATGTAGTTAGTGGTAGGTGGACCATGGTCTGAGACTCCCCATTGGGTGGAAATAATTTAATCTGTTACAAAGGTTGGATGACTCTTTTACTAACCACCTTGCAATGAGAGGTAGGCAAGTGACCTTTATAAGCCAAGGGGCTGTTTCTGATCCCATCTCCTCCACCTCAATACAGTTAATGTGAGAAAGGTGTGGAAACAGCTTTTGGGAAGAACCTTCTGACTTACAATGAAGCTCAATGCAAGGCTTGCAAGGGAAACCTTAATCAGTGGAACATCTCTATGGAACATCTGAACCTGTGGAACATCTCTGCAAGGGACAGACAGGACACCCACAGGCTCTGACCGAGCAATCCTGTAGTCATATAGGTTTGTCTTGGTTAGTTTTTGCAATATAAAAACGCTCATTTCTGCTGCAAATCCCAGCAGGGAGCTGAGGAAAAACCAGCCTGCTCAGCTGAACATATTCATATGAGATAGTGTTTGGCTGTGAAAATCAAAGTGGAATTAGTTTAATCATTCAAGTCTCCCACTGGTTTTTCCTTCAAAAACTGCTTCTTTCCTGACCACAAGCCCTTAAGGAGATCTGTTTATGCTGCATAAGAAAACACTGTATCTCTCACCACAGGCAGCCAGGCAGACCTGATGGGAAGATCCAGTCTGCAAAGGAGGTACCTTCCCTTAGTGAAGGTCAGTTTTGCTTATTCTGTGTGAATATGCAAATGAATCCTTAGCTGGAGCAGGTTGCAGAAGAGAGAGGAGGAATGTTTATGTAAGAGGTTTGTAAAGCACAAGGGAAGACACTATCCCAGATAGCTGCCTGGGTGTTGCCAGCTGCAAAGAAGCATTGGGCTCTCTGTGGTCCCTGGACTACCCACCACACCATATAAGTGGTCTGCATGTGATCACTTCTGTGTTCAGGGACAGATGCCCTAGCTTCCAGTCTCAGGCAGAGGTGGGATTTTCCCAGAAGTGGCAAGTGCAGGTGCCTGTTTTACTGGGTGTTTGGCTTGCTCATAAGTCCCCATCACTGGTTATGGAGAGGGCCTTGAGCACTTTGAGCCTCTCTTCTTAGCTATGACCCTAACTCTAGACTCTTTGTTACTTGATCACTACAGACACTGGCAAAACAATGCAGTTGTACCCTAACTCTAGACTCTTTGTTACTTGATCACTGGCAAAACAATGCAGTTGGTTTTTATGCTCAAAAGGTCAACAGATCTGTCCAAAGGATTAGTGTAGTCTCCTGATTTTAATTTTCAATTCTAAAAGGAGCATTAGGGAAATTTTAAAGGACTCAAAATGCCTGTTTGTATTACATTATACATAATCTATAAGATAGCAGTCTTGCTTTTCTGCTAAGAAATCACATTCATTAGTTTTCAATTAGAGTTTCTTTACTGACAGAGGTTACTCACCATCTGCAGCCAAGCATTGGTGATCAACACCTGATTCTTCTCATCCTTTGAACATAAGGGGAAGGAAAGACAAGAGGAAAAGTGATGAAACAGTTTGATTAGAGATGGAAGAGTTTCTGTGTCTTTTAGACAATCCAGACTTTTGGGGTATATAAACCAAACTCCATGGAATAGGTTGTGAGCTCACTGGAACACAACTCTTTGGCCCAGACAATAGTGGCTGCTTTTCTTATCCTTTAAACTTACAGACTCCCTGTGTTTATCATAACTGATTAACAATAAAAAGGAAAGTAATGGATGATGTCTATTCTTTTTCTGGGGATTAACTCCTTACCAAGTTTTACCTTCTAGCTACTTGCTCAAAACAAGATGTTTTTCAATACCACACTGCATGTCATAGTTGGAAAGATTTCATGTTGTATTTGCTGCCACTGCAAAGCAATGGTGAAATAATGCCAGAAGTGCTGTTCTCTTCAAGTGTCATTGCTATGTAGCTTAGCTCTGGCTAAAGGAAAGAAAGGGCTGGCCTTGGGCAGAAGCTATCCCTTGGCTAAAAACACACAAATGCTGTTTGAGAGGGAGCTCACACAACACCTTCACAGAGCAGGAGTCTGCAGGGTCATTCCTGCATGCAGAAGCCATGGGGAAGAATCTCTTATAACAGAAATGAAGATGCTCTCACCACCCAGTTGGTGCCCAAGTTCTCTGGGGAATCACAAGGTGCCCAGTTTTCTGCAGTTACTCTGCAGGTGCAGGACCCTGAACCGTAGGGTTGGAGGAGCCGGGCTGCAGAGTCACTGTGGTGCAGAGTCACTGTGGTGCAGATACACAGGTACCCAAACACCACCACAGCCATGCCCTGCACTTCCCAGGAGCTGAAGCTGAGCTGCTCAGAGGGACTGGGTCACTGTATGCCCAGCTGTCCCTGTGTGTGTCCATGCCCTAGGAAGCTTACATGGTTGTCTGCAGTGTTTCAGGTGGGAGACCTTGCAATTGCAAGCTGCTTGGTAGGCATTTAAACCATACATACATGCATGCCCTCTCTGGTCATGTTTTGCAGTACGTACTCTCTAACAAGGTAGAAAAACTAAACTGCCCTATTCACTTTGGAAAAATACCAGTCTGCTCACCTCAAGTTACATTAATTCTGCCTTTCCTCCCCTCCTGAACCTTGTCTGTAGCATGATCTCCTCTTCTGACAACTGGACTGTTGGAGCTACAGAAATACCACAACCTAGAAAGGGAGACATCATTGACCAGGAGGATTGCTGATTGTTTGGCACTGTGGCCATAGTTAGGCTCTGAAGCCAGGTGCTTGTCCCCAGGAAAGGTAAATTTCAGACATGAAACAGGTTGCCACAGTGATCCACATAAAACTGTCTATTACACTACCTCCTCTTGAGTCCCCTTGAGACCTGACTACAACGCTTCTGCTCCTGTCAGATGCCACACAAAAATTAGATGTGATTTTATATTGTAATACTGATCATACATTTCCCTTTCTCCTCTTTGCTGCTCCAGCAAATGTACTCCTCTCTCTATGCAAACTACAACCCACCTCCAGAGGCCTGGTCCTTGTGCACTCCCTTTTTTCCCTTGGTTGCTGTAGTTGAAGCAATTGTAAGAAACTCTGCAGAAAAATTAGAGGACTGGACTTGTAGAGACAAGTTTTATAGATGCTGAAGGATTCAAACACCATCTTCAAAAATAAAGTAAAGAATAACCCCAGAGCTGGTAATTGATAGAGTCATCAGAGCTATTTGTGCCTACTGACCTGGGAAATGAAAGCAACCCAGAAACACAGAGGCTGTGTCCCAGAGATCCTCAGAGGCTAGCCATCAGCCCATATGACTCATGCATTCCTGGCCACCAATGACTCCTGAGGTGTCCTGTAGGGCTGGCAAGCATGAAAATCATCTGAATTGCACATCAAGTACTAACAATATTTTGTGTGGTTAGCCAAAGAATGCTCTATACCTGTAACCTGCACATGTCCTCCTAACAAAGACTTTCTGTGTACTGTTAAAAGAGCTTGAACAACATGATTAAAAAGCTGGTCAGCAACAATCAGCCAATGCCATTGCTGTATAAAACTAAGGATTTTCCCCATCTACACTGAAACCTACAGGGAAAGAGAAGGAAGGACATTCCTCATTTTGTCATCTACCTATGTGAACATCACAGGAATGCATTGAAGTCCAATGTACATCTGTGAGGCTGGGTGTTTCCATCATGTGCAGATGCCTTCCATCAGGAGCCTTTCATACCTTACCAGGAAACTTTTTTTCTGGCACAATAAGTTTATACTTGACAGCTTGCAAATGAAGATATCTCGGGCTGACTCAAAACAGTTTGTTGCCCTTATCTGTTTATCTGTGTGTCAGATACTAATGACGTGACTAATCAGCTTTGACTCCAAACAATTCTTCAGACAGGTATTTCATATAGCGTTAAATGTACTGTCTTGGGTCTGCTTTGCCTACTTTTCACAGGGCTACTGTGCTTAGATATGTTTTGTAGTCAAAGGAAAACTTACAGTTTTGAGTTTTCAAATGCTTATCTAGAGAGCAACAATGGTCTTCCTTGTCTGTTTTCCTAGGTCTAACTAGGGCTTTGAGCTGCTTACATCTCTCTTAGCTTGGGTGAAACAAAAAAGCCACTTCAGGATGTTTTCTTGGCCATTCAGAAACTATTCCCATCCTTGCCTCCAGGCTGCTGAGCTCTTAAATGGCACCTGACATTTTGGCAAAACACAGAAAATGTTTCCATATGTAGCGCTGGTCAACAGATGCAGCTTGATGGGTCCTTCTAATTGCACAACTGAACAGAATATTTTTCAAACAAGGATCTGAGTTTTCCAGAAGTGCCTGGTTTGCTGAAGCAGCAAAGCTGACTTTACACTCAGCAGGCATTTGTCCTACTGAGTGTAAAGCTCTCCTGCTAAGTCCTTTCTAGAGGAGGACTCTGAAGAATCAAAGAAAAAGTGCCTGCTGGGGCTGCCGAGGATATGAGGGCCATGGGAACCTTTAGTCTGAGTCCACCCCCAGTTAGAGTGAGAGGCATTTCAGAGCTGAGGTGTTTATGGAGCTTTCCACAAAGATGGAAAAGAATTACAGTTCCTGCCATCTTCATCATGACCTGTGCGCTGTATGCACCTCTAAAGTACCTTGGCACAGAAGGGACTATATTTTTCTGTTACATGGACACACAAATAACCTGGAAAATGTGTGTGGTTTACTCTGTCTCAAGAGATCACTGATCATTTAGCTTTGCCTAAGTTGGAAGGTAATTATGAGCTTGGGAAGTGCTGGAGGCAGTTCCCTCATTCTGTGCCACTGGTTTATGCAGAGGGGCTTAAAGATTAGTTAAGAGGATGCCTTTTCTCCCAGGAGAAAATTTGAATAATCTATCCCACTGTTTTTTCTGTTCAACTTTCCTGTCTTGGCACTGTCAGCCTTGGGAATGACCTTCCCTCTGCATTGGGCCAGCTCTCAACTCCCATCTTTTTGTGCAGCAAAGCATTAAAAGCAGTCCTGCAAAGATTCTGGGTGAGGCTGAAAATTATCAGCTCCCAGAATTGCTTTTTCCATAATTCCCCTGACAGTTCTCCTGGTTCGCAAATGTTCATCTCAGACAAATAAATTTGATTCTAGTATTTAAAAATGCTGGAAAAGCTGTGGTCACTAGTGAGTGCAACACTTGTTCTCTAAATCCTTCCTGTATTTATCTGGGTCATTTTCTCCCCTTTCTATCTCTAGTCTGACTCCAGTTAATCCTCTGCCCTGAATATCTGCTTATTCCTACAGCCACCTTTGACCCATGTAAAGTGACAGTTTGGTTTGTTCTGGTGCACATGCTGTGACATGTGAATGGTTTAGTTTGGTTTTCTTTTCCCTGCCCTAAATTCAAAGCTTACAATGTATGTACATCTGCATTGTGCACTACTTCCTGTCAACAGATTCTCCCTTGCCAGGTCAACATCTAAATAAAATATAACTGCCCTTAGCCACATAATTACCTGGGTCATATCACCTGGACAAAAAAACCCCAAAGCCCTTCCTGGTTCAGTAGTCACGTCATATGACTACATGTCACCTACGTAGCAAGGCATTTGTTACCAGGTGATCAGCAGTCTTTAATTCTTACCCTTTCACAGAGCATAGAAGTGGGAGTTGAGTCAGCCACTAAATAATTTCAAGACAATGATCAGAAAAGTCTCTAAATGAACAGGTAACTCTCAGTAGTCATGTGTAACTATTTTGGTACTACTTCAGGTAATTTTAAAAATTTTTTTCCCACTGTTTTTGCACCTGAAGATTGGAAGATAAGAAGGGGAATAGTTAAGCAACATGAAATCATTGATATGAAGACTTGGAAAGTTTTGTGAGCAGAGACACTGATCTTTGAGTGGGATCTTATTCAAAACATCCAAAGGAATTGATCCAGCTTTCAAATGCTTGTAGGCTCAAAAATTGCAAAGGCACTCTTTTCTATTGCTGAACCACCAATCTGTCCACAATTTTCAGCTGATTATCTAAAACTTAGCTCAAATGCATTGAATGGTTGAAGGCTCACAGAACCAGTAATTTTGAGGAGTGCCCAGGTTGCCTTGGCAACATTCAAGTAAGTATCACTGGACAGTCTTTGTATTTCAGAGCTCTCATTGAAAAACTGAAATAAACCTTGTCATGGTAACATCAACTATGTAGGGATAACTTAAGTTTTTAAGTTATGTCAATCCCTTTAAGAAAGGACCCTCAGTATGAAGATGGAAATCAGACAGGAGGGCCCAGAGTTAAGGTGAAAGACTGGGGAGAAATACAAAAATACAAAGGAATAACAAAAGAACAAACACCCGCTAAGTATTTTGTTGCCCATCAAGGCGAAGATACATCTGAGCAAGTGCTCATAGCTAGACATCTTTGTTGCTCAGGATTTCCTCCTATGAATGGTTGGAAGTGATGTCTAATAAGCGTTTTTTCATCTTGAATCATACTCCCATCTGATGCCACTGGCTTCTCCTTGAGGTCATGCCTTTCTTGGTT